TGCCTCCCCAGCAGGTAAGTCCCATACGGCCAGGGCCCCACTCAACTTACCCCTGCTCCTGCCCCTGCAGCACCGTCCCTTACTGCAGGGGCCTCACTCTAGCCCCTGTCCCTTCCCTCCCCCATGGACTGATGTGCTGGGCTGGGGCATGCATGCACGTGGGTACTCAGCCTCCCACCCCAGCCTTGGATTGACTCCAAGAGGCTCCCAGATCTACCGCAAGAGACTCCGAGATCTACTGGTGGATCGAGATCCACTGGCTGGTGACCCCTGCACTAGTGTAACTCGGGAGCTTGGTATATTCAAATCTACACAGGCTAGGAATTTATAAGGTAGTTTCATATTTTGTGAATAGGAATAAAGCTTCATAATTTCTGAAGTAAGATTTATTTTTTCACCTTCTGGCCAATGTAAGGGCATCTGAATTTGGGATCTATGCTTTCTGTACACATAAGCTTTATGAAGAAAATCAGATTGTTTCCATTACAAAAATTAATTTATCGAACCATATATTATGTAACTATTTTCTATTTAACCAAATTGAGTCTGTTCCATCTATGCAAGCTGTTAACTGTATAACAAACTCTTATTTGCAAATGCAAGTTAAACAATAACATTTCTTCTGCCAGTCAATGCAGAACTAATTGTGTTGATAAAAGCGGCTGCACATATCCAAAACTTTGGCATGTTCCAAGACCTGTCCAAACAGTAATTGTCCCTTAATTCAATCCTGTAACGTAGGTAAGCAAGTAAAATTATCTCTACTTTACAGATGTGAAAACTCACAACTGATTTGCTGAAGGTCATAGAGAGAATTAACCCTGAGGACTTCCTGCCTCCCCAACTATGGGGACATTCATCTGGACTTAGAGCAGAGCAGACACATTTCCTCTTTCCTGTCTTCACCAGTTCGAGGTGCTCCTCCTGAACTGCTTTAATAGAAAGATATCAGATTCTTTGTTCCCTGGGACAAAAACTTAAGGAACTACAAAAGCCTCTACTGGCATCAGATGAAAGAAATTGCTCTTTAAAGAGTACTATGGTTGATCCACTAGGTATTGTTGCAACATGTGTAGTCTTGGATTTTACTCACATGTGTGAGGACTACCCTGCCTTATCTCATTAAGGACTAATACATGGATTTTTTTTTACAAGTTTGTTGTGGAATACTGTATTTACTTTTCTGCATCTGCTTGAAATACGACATTATCTCCTGTGACCTCTCATGTCTTTAACCCATGCCGTAAGGTCTGGAACACTATCAGATACTGAAACATTTAATTAATCCAACTGACATTTTTATGTTTTAGGCTTTGTATTCTGAAGGTAAAGTTTGCAGAGGTTTGTAACCAGACGAGTGATGACAGCTAAGTGCTGCCCCCACTCTTTTTATAAAAGGAGTTCTTTGCTTTCAGGAGAAGACTTAGAGCTGGTCTGAAATCTATTAAACAACATCCTTCAGAAATTAATCATGGTGTTTATGGTTTTTGATGAATAGATGCTTAACAGCTTTCAGCAGATGCCAGTAGAGGACAACACTGTAATTTGATATCAACATGTTATGCCTGATAAGGACTGCCTTTGATCAGCTATAGGTACTGTAAATCTGCACCATACATCTCTCTCCTATTCAGTTGAGAATTGTAATCCCTTTTTATTGTTCAACAGACAGAAAGACTGAGGTTTTGCATTAGTGGGAGAAACAAGTTATTCTTACCTCACAATCTAATGACTTATACACGCATTCTTACTCACTGAAATTACAGCATAATCAGCAATGGTCAATAAAACATTTCATTTCATCTTCAATAACATATTCCACCTTAGATTTAACTATTTCTGTTATTTCCTTTTTGCAGCTAAACTTCTTAAAATTTTGTCTCACCCAAGTTTAGACATATACATATACAAGTAAATTGTATAACTCACCTCCTCTCACAAACACATCCTTGGAGATTCTATTAAAGCCAAATATGTAACAGCAATTGCAGTACCTTTAGAACAACCCATCTAGCTTCCTAGCTTCTTTGTAATGACCCAGAAACATGAATGTGTGTGGCTGTCTGTGTGTGTCATTAGCTAAAAGCGTTTGCTTGACATCTTTTACTTTTGAATAAATGACATTGCATACCATGTTTCAGGAATGACATATGCCTCAGTGAGTAGGTGTTAGCATCAGTAACTGGTTATATTACTATTCTCTACTTTGGGCAAAATTGTTGGATCATCTACTTAGACTGCCTTCTTACTTCTACTGCCTAATACTACCAATAATACATTTTCATGATATAAAGCTTGGAGGAATAAGTGCTTGCCAGTCTTAGAATACAAATCTATACTAGTTTTGGCTTTACTGGCTACATTGTGAAGGTGCAATATGCAGCTACTAGAGAGTGCTTTGCAATCTTTCAGGATACATAGTGCTGCAACACAAATAAGACGACAACGAGAAAGAACCAAAATTATTCTCTGAGAGGAAAAACATTTTGCTTCCAAGATGCAATCAAAGTAATGAACCTTATATATTCTTCCTATGTGATTTCTGTAAGTTTCTGCCAAAGTATTATATTTCCTCCTAGAATATTTCTTTCTTTTTAAAGTGACAGGCTTTCACACACTGAGAAAGTAAAGCTGTATCAGAAAAAATAACAGGAGGAGCCAAGGCAATATAATCAAAGCTGCTGGGAAGGTGACATTATGCATCTATGCCTTGGGATTTGTTTTCAATCAACCAAAGACCACCAAAAGTCAATTGTAAAAATTGGAATTCCTAGCCTACCTTCAGGTCATTTCCCCCACAATAAATACTTATAGATGTAAATCTTCTCAGATTAGGAAGGGAATTGATCTGTTGTGTTCATAGAAAAAGATTAAAAATAAGATGAAAAATGTTAGGAAATTAAAAACTTCAGCATTCTCTTATGTTTCCCAGGAGGTACATCTCCTATAATATTTCCTTAGCTCTAAAGAGTTACAAACTTATGAGAAAAATAAAGAAAGGGAGATGTAGTAACACATCATGTATTTCTATACGGCAAAGTCAGTTTCTGTTTGGATTTACTTCTAGTAAGACTTGTACCCTGAAAACATATAAATATTTAAGTTTGTGTTACAATTCTTCACAAAGTGTCCAGATTAAGAATCTCTGAGGTTAAAAACACTGTTAACATGGATGCCACTGAACTCGAAGTTTCAAGGCAGACTGAAGGTAAGACTTCTGAGAACCAGAATTCTGGAATAAGGCCATTTCGTGGTCTTCTCAATATTTCTTCAGTAAGCAATAGATTAATGTGTTTTAAAGTACCCATCTTTATTTAAAAGGAAGATATTGATTTTTTTTGTTAACAGAGAAAAATGGGATAATGAAAAAAATCACTTCTTTGCTCCCAAATATTATTTTTAGTACGTGAAATAATATTTGTGACAAATAACATGTTTTTAAAAAAAAAAGTTCAATTCCTCATGTCTACACACTTTAGGAGTGTAATTTTTGTAAACTAAACACCTTCCACTCCGCTATTAAGCCCTGTGTAAACCAGCATGATTTATACTACTCAATCTGAACGTTGCTCTCTTCATGTATCAGCATTCATTGTTTACATTTATTGCTGTAATAAATGATAAAACTCCCAGCCAATCCAAAAGTAATGTTATGAATGCAAAGTTCTGTGTAAGTTAGAAAAACAATGTGTGCCAATAAAAGATCATAACAAACTTGAGTGACAAAAGCAGTAAAATCTGCAGCTATTCTTCTAGTTATATTTCACTATTGCATCCCCAGTGTCAAAGGCAAACTGTTTAACAAATTATTCAAGTATCTCTGAAAAAAAAAAAAACTTAAATAAACAATCCACAAACAAAAGACACAAAAGGATTTTCAGATAATTGAAAGACTGAACACCCTACTCCCAGAATTTAGTTAACAACAGCAAAGCTTTTACAATAATAAAAACAAATATAATCCTAATACAAGGATTATTAAAAACGATTACATGATTGAAAGCCATATGGGATTTTGTATCAACATTTAGATGATGCATTTATAGGATCATGGGAAAGTAGGTCTGGAAAGGACCTCACAAGGAATGCAGAAAGTAGGGTGATCAGCTAGTCACCTCAGATGTCCGTACATGAA